CACACTGGAGGGTCGTAGCGCGCTTTGTCTTCGCTGTAAACGGCGTCGTTTCGACAGACAAAGCGTCGAGACTGAAAGCGGGGCGGCGGAATAGCGGAATAGCGGAGCGTTCTCCGCCGGGGCGGCACCGGATCTGCCGAGGGATCTCTCCCGGGCCGCGCTGAGGCCTGAGCTGCAACAATCCAGCAGTGGTGTAGGCAGCAGTGGTGTAGGCATGTGGTTCGAGTGTGAACTCCTGCCTAACCAAACAGAGGGCAGTGTCCGTTCCCAATGCTGCCGGATCTCGCCCCGTGGGGTGCTCGTTAACACGGGGTATAAGACTGAAACTCCAGTGTTGAGTGCGGCCCGGCAGACTGGCCTCAGTCACGTATGGACTGAGCGGTGCAAGTAGGATTACGACTCAGGTCACATGCAGCCAGCCAGAATCGGCATTTGCATAGCATACTATTAACCAATTGCGTTGGTCTGAGCCTGCAGGTATTTTCACTTCAATGCATATAGCGTCTGACGCACTGAGTTGCGTACATAAAAGAGAACGCTATGTCGGCATCTATCAGGCAGACATTGCCGTCCGATCGTTATCCGATTGACGCATTAAAGGGACTATCCCACCTTCTAAAATGTTGTTAAAACCAGTTAAATTGTGCCCGACTTTATAGATTGGATGACCAGGAACACGGTTCTGGCATTTATTTTTCATTAAACATCTTAGGCTTCCCATATTCCAAACACAAACTTTCAAATATGTGACGTCACAGCCCAAAATTACCTCCTTCCCCAGGCCACATTACTGTCATAAAGCTGATTCTTTTTACTCTGTAGGCACCACAACAAAGTTCAGACCAAGTTTTAAGCGATTTTTCAACGAACAAACCCATTTAAATCAGAATGACTAAACGAGGTGACGTCACACTAACGGTCACTCCATGTTGAAGATAGGGCCTTGTACAAGGCCCATTTTCAAATGAAGGGAACGAATTTCTTCAACACCAAGAGGCCGCGGGGGTTGCAACCTAGATAGATAGTGGTTTCTGAACCTCGCCGCAAACTTGGCTATCTCAACTCAAACTCCATGTTAAAGGTGGGATAGTCCCTTTAAATGCCCAGTTCAGTGGTCCTCCCAGCACAGCTCGTCGGTCCTTCCAACTCGTCGGCCCAGCCCAGCCCAGCGTCCCTCCCCCAGCCCAGCCCATCGTCCCTCCCAGCCCAGCCCAGCGTCCTTGTCTTATCCAGCCCAGCTCGTCGGTCCCTCGTCAGCCCAGCTGACGAGCGGTGGAAGTGTGTCGTCGCCGCAGGTACCGCCGCCTCCTCAGCCGTCTCGCCGTCGACTGGCCCACTTGGTGTGTCCTCCCTGTGACTATATCCAGTGTCTGACGACACCACTCACCTCCAGCGCAGTAGCGGTCTCCTCCACAGCCCTGCTGCGGCTACAGCTCCTCAGTGCTCCGTCACTGTACCGCCGCCGTGCCGCCGCTGAACCACCCAGTCCCCGCGCCGGGCACTCACCCCTGCACGTCAGACACTGCCGGCCGCCGGACAGACACTAAAGTCGGTCAGACGAGCCGATCGCGGGCCGCCGCGCCGCCGCCGGCGCACCGGCCGCCCGGCACACGGGTGACGTCACACACAGCCCTCGCTGGGTGTGACGTCACTACGGTGCGGCAGTGCAACGGCACTCGAGATGGGCGAATAGGTAGGCATGCAAAATAGTCAGCTGTCCTGAGACTCGTCTGTTTTTTTTTGTACCGTCCTGTCCGTCCCGTCTTATCCATCCCGTCCTGTCCGTCCCGTCCTGTCCGTCCCGTCCTGTCCGTCCCGTCCTGTCCGTCCCGTCCTGTCCGTCCCGTCCTGTCCGTCCCGTCCTGTCCGTCCCGTCCTGTCCGTATGTCCCGTCCTATACGTGTCGTAACGACCCGACTCCCGTTCTGTCCCGCAGTCTGTCTGGCTTGTCCCATCCTCCCACCGTCCGTTCCATTACACGTATTCCTGGTTGGTCGGTGGCCACGGAAGTGAGCTGAGCAAGTCATGTGGATTGTAGGTAAGCTGATCGTCGGAAAAGTTGTTCAGAGAGGACTTGACTAAATCTGTCGAATGCTGCCTGCCACTGGTCACTGTACAGTGTACATACATGCCTATATACCTTTATTTAAACTTAGCTCGAATTAGACGGACAGGATAAAGTCGGAGCCTAGCTTGTTAGCTTGTTGCATGGACCTCGACCCCTACCGCCCGATCGCGCAGTTCGGGAGAATTTAGATCCCAAAGTTTAACGTGCACTTCGAAGCCGTACACGGCCTGTCCCACTCACTACTGACTTCTAGGCTGCGGCTGCTCCTATCAGCCGCAGAACATCCCCGTCAGGAAGGAGTTCAAGCATGGAGCGCCGGAGCGAATCGAACTCTGGCCCGCACTACCAGGAGTCCAGCGCTCTACCAATTGAGCTACCGGACTCAGGCTACTACATTCATGGTGACCAGGTGCAAATATCGCAATTTTGACACGTCCCAGTGAAAAATATTTTTAGTCAATGACAAAAATAGGTACAGTGTGCCTTGGTCACCGGCCCATCCGCTCGGCAATCCATTCGCTTGTTCATTTTGAGAAACTTGTCCTTTCTGCTCTGATTCATTCATTCATTCATTAACCCGCGCCCCACTGGGGGGGGGGGGCTATTTATAGCCCCCCTCCCGTTTTTCTGCAATAACTTCCAAACCGCTTGACGGATCGACACCAAACTTTCAGTACCTTCGGCTGCATCAATTTGACACCTTGTGTCAAAATTTGAACTTCGTAGCTACCATAGGTCGGCCGGAAATGACGTCAGAGTGACGTCATGTTCGTCCGATTTCGACGCAAAACATTGAACCACGGCAATCGCTCCCAAGAGCTCAGTTTTTAAGCTAGATCCAATTTCTTTGCATGAAAGGACTCACAATTGACTGCGCCATCAAACTGCTATCTCGGATTTTCAAAATTTTGAAAATTTTGAAAATTATATATTATAATATTCCAAATTTATATTTTTTTCAAAAAGTTTTTGACTTTTCGAAAAAACCGGAATATATGTGACAGAACGCATGATTATGACTAACTCTAGCAAGTTTTAGCTAAATATCTTCAAAAATGGCCAAGTTATACGCATTATTGCAAAAAATTCAAAATTATTAATTTTTTAAATCCATTTTTCAGTACGTATTTGACATCGTACACCAATATAAATGGCACCATCGTGTTCCTGAGCTCAAACTGCATCCAATAGACACCTTTTTTGTTGAAAAATTTCAACTTCAAAATTTGACCTTTTTTGACCTGAAAGTGACCTGACCTAAGCTAAATTCGACTCAAAATGACCTCGAATGACACGGACGACATCAAATTCGAAATCTATGGCCTAAATGGACCATAAAACATGTGTCACGTGACCAACGCATGATAAAATATTTTCGTGACCTGTGATGACCTGACCCTGACCTGAAAATCAAAGTACAAGTTTGGTACCCTCAAGGTATCTAGAGCATCTGTTCACGAGTGTGGAAACCAAAAATGAGCCTGATCTGACTTGTAAGACGGCGGCCAGAGCCCAAAATGTGAACAAGCCAAAATGCTAATAATTTTTACTTTGACCTGACCTGTGACGTCATCGGTGACCTTGAGGTCAATGAAATTAGGTTTTGTTCGACAGTTTTTCCGGGGCTATCAGACGCCGTTTGAATTTTGACGATCGGCCCAGTAGTTTCGGAGTTAGGAGGGGGGGCTATGAATAGCCCCCCCAGTAGGGCGTGTTATACACAGACCCCAGTGGGGCGCGGGTTAACATTTGTTCGTTCGATTGTTTGTTCGTTCGTTCGGTCGGTCGGTCCATAGAAATAAAAACGGTCGGTCGGTCGGTTGGTTGGTCGGTCGGCCGTTCGTTCGTTCATTTCGTTCGCTTGCTCATTCATTCATTCATCCGTTTATTCGTTCATTCATTCATTCATTCATTCATTCATTCATTCATTCATTCATTCATTCATTCATTCATTCATTCATTCGTTCATTCATTCATTCGTTCGTTCGTTCGTTCGCTCGTTCATTCGTTCGTTCGTTCGTACGTACGTTCATTCGTTCGTTCGTTTCTTCGTTCGTTCGTTCGTTCGTTCCTTAGCAGTGGCGTACCTACCCAGGAATTTGCGAAGGACCAGGGCATTGGACGAGAGGGCGCCAATCAAGGAGGGCGCCAACAACAAGGAGGGCGCCACATATCTGAAACTTGAATGTGTCAGTTATGTTCGTACACGTGCGGAACGAACATAACTGACATACTGGACAGAGGGGCGCCACCCACCATCATCTAGGAGCGCGACGCTATCGATTGGAGGGGCGCCAATACTGGACAAAGGGGCGCCACCGGCCCACCATATCGTCTAGGAGGGCGCCACTATCACCAGAGGAGCGCCAATACTGGACAGAGGGGCTTCGCCATCAACTAGAAGCGCGCCGCTATCGACTGGAGGAGCGCCAACACTGGACAGAGGGGCGCCAGTCACTGAGGGCGCCGGGGACGATGAGCCAAAGGGACAGGGCATGCACGGAATGTCCTGTATGTGCGTACGCCACTGTTCCTTCGTTCGTTCGTTCGTTCGGTCGGTCGGTCGGTCGGTCGGTCAGTCGGTCGGCGCCTCGGCCCATAGAAACGAAGACGGTCGCCGGTCGGTCGGTCGGCTGGTCGGTCGGCCGTTTGTTCGCTAGTGCGTTCGTTTGCTCATTCATTCATTCATTCATTCATTCATTCATTCATTCATTCATTCATTCATTCATTCATTCATTCATTCATTCATTCATTCATTCATTCATTCATTCATTTAGCTCGCCTCAAAATGATAAAAACAATTTCATGTAAATTACGTCATAAGCTCTGACGTAATTCACACAACATAAATACCACAGAAAAAAACGCTCAACCTTGAATCGGTGGAGGCGGCATAAGCGGCGCAAAAGAAACTTCTATTTGAATATTATTATGAAGATGTTAGAATTATTCTGATTACTCTGATTATATTATTCTGATTTATTTGTTAGTCAGCAGTCAGCAAGTAGGTATCCTGAATCATCCAATTTAAATGGTATGCTAACGTCAACATCTGCTGGTCAGTGGTCTCATATTATCGGAGCTAGCAAGCATAAAGTAAATAAGTAAAATGTTAGGACGGTATACCTATACTGCCATGATAAGTTGATACTGCCCTGGGATACTGCCTTGGTTACGACTGCCGTAAAATGCAAGTTCCTCCCTATGTCCCTATGTCCCTATGTGCGATGTTAAATGAAAGTGTCATTTCATTTTTCGACGAGAGTCCTGCCGCCGCCGGCTTTCAGTTAAAATCCAGCTGAAAGACGGCTATTATTTATGAAAGTTAAGCAGGGAATTCAATGGCTGAAACGTTTGTCCTTGCGTTCATATAGTCAATAGTTACTATCATTTTCACATTCCTGCTGCGCCCATCTTCTTTCCGTTTCTGCTCGTATTTCAAAGCAATGCACGAATACAGTCTACCTCAACAATCAACGGTAATGATCTTGTTGAAAGTTCCTACAGAAGATTGGATGGACATTGACAAACATTTGTTTCAAATTTAATCAAATTCCATCAGTATTCAGTAATGTGCCTCTGAATGATATCGAAAAAATGAAAATGATGCTCTGAGTTGGCAATTTATTTTATTTTGAAATCAAATAAAGATCTTATTTTTCACATTTTACATAGGCTCATAACTCACTTTATATTCCTCAACTATCAACAATATGTGCTAAAAATGCCATGCTAAGAATGTCATGCTAAAAATATGTTAGAAATGCTAAATGTGCATTAAATATGACTAAAATTTGCATATGTACTTAGGTAGAGTTGAGGAATTTTAAAGCAGTTTCCACTTCCTGCATTAATTTGAAAACACATACCTACCTTACCTTACCTTAGGGTATTTGGATTTTTAGGCTTAGAGCTTAACCCTCGCATGTGTGCTGCGTTTGCCAGCTTCTAATGTGTAGGGGGGGGGGTCGGTTGGACCCCCCCCCCCTTGCCGTTTGGCCCCTGATCGAGCTAGAGCTTCGCGGAAAAAACGAGCGTGTTGCCCGTGACGAGAGGAAGCCGATGATACCCAATTTTAAGGTCCTAGGTCATTGGTTGACCTTCCAGGTCAGGTCAATGACCCAAAGTCGGGAAAATCGGGACCTGTTAGAAAGTCGTAAAGTGTGGCTGCTAAGGGGTTTTTTGGGGTGCTGATCACGAATATCGTGTTAGTTTTGATCACAGATGATGTCTTTAAGCATTTAGACCAGGTCGGGTCAGGTCAGGTCAGGTCAACCAGTAGGCGTCGTGACGGGTATTCGTAGTACGTGTCAACCGCCTCTGACAGCTTCGTAACATGTTACGAAGGCACCAAAACTACTTCGTAAATGTTCAAATGGTTGCTAAATTCGAATTCAGCTCCAAAAACTAGCCTAGAAACATGTACAGCTCGAAAAAGTGAACCGAGGTCACCCGAGGTCACCAAAGGTCAATGACCTGACCTGACCTTCAGGTGACCTTGACACCCACCCTAATGCATGGAAGCAACATCGAATCACATGTTTGAACGTTTGAAACCACGAAAAGCTTGCAAACGCGCGGCTAATGCGAGCCGACATACGCAGAATCGCGATTCCGGCCAAACATGGTCTCGGAAAAGAGGTCACAGGTCAAAGGTCATTTGGGTCAGGGTCATGAAATTTTCAGGGTAGGTGTAAAATTGATCAATGTGAGGGTACTGAAAGTTTCGTCGTGATCAGCCGCTTTTTACGCAAGTTATTCGCGAAAAACCATGGGGGGGGGGTCCATCCGACCCCCCCCCCCCTACACATGCGAGGGTTAACATGTCCAAATTTGTTAATTGATTCATTTCTAATTTAGATGGATTTTTACAGGACTGACTTTTTTAGGACATCATGGGAGCTGGGAGGGGGGTGTTTGAAAATTGAAACCCTCTGGGCCTCTATAGTGTTTTGGCATAGGTACCATTATATATTTTTGTGCAGATTGTTGAAATTGTAATATGGGTCACATAATGTCAGGTCAACCTATCCTGACTGACTCTGAGTGACTGAGTCTCCTCACCTCATGATATAAAATATTTTTCCTGGCTAGCTATTCAGCAATTACTTAGGAGCTTTGGGCAGATAGTTGAGGGTAACAAGAAAAATGAAACATTTAAATACCTATCTCATATTTTTTGTTGGTGACCTGTGTGTGTCTATCTGTGAGGTCAACTGGACCAACTTTGGTCAAATGATCAGCCCCTCCTCTATGAGTCAGTCAGAAAAAGCCATCCTCCCTTCCATACAAAGCTCATGGCTACTAAATAGTTATTTGCTCAGGCAATAGAAGGCAAATCTTGTTTTTAATCTAAGCATACGTCTTCCACCAGGTGACAGAGTTCTGTCAACACTACAGTCAAGAGCATAATTTGATGACAGATCAGCACTAGACACTCTGGGTCTGTGTGAGTCCCAGGCGCCACCATGCACCTGGGCTCGGTGGCTCTCTGCCTGGTGGCATTCTACTACGTGGTGACCCGGCTGCTGCCCCAGCTGCTGTCATGGCTCCTCGTCTGGCGCTACAACCTTCAGGTAAATTGGCTGATATTCAATATTTTCAATCTCCATTCTCTATCGATCAGCTCAGTTCACTGTCCTGTAATGCTCAAGCTGTTTTTGGTTATTATCTGTCAAATACGTTCGTCAACCCCGTTTTTATCGCACTATCTCAATATGTTTTCGCAAACAAGTCCGTAGATAGTTCAGTCGTAAATGAAGAGAGTACCATGATGTTAGTTCACCGTCGCTGGCTTGCCATTATTCCGATGCCGTAGAGCGGTGTACCGGCGCTCCAGTCTCCAATCCCTGACGTTCCCTTTCTGTCCCGTCCCGTTCGCGGCAGATATCCCTGGGCAGGATCGGCCTCCACCCGCTGTGTGTGTACCAGCTGAGCCTGGAGTGGGGACCGGTCCGACTGACCGCCAACGGGCTGACCATCACCAGCAGCCTCGTCAACAGCCAGGTGAGGATTCCCCGCCCGCCGCTCGGGACAGCTTCTCTCCGCCGTTCATGGATAATCACCAGTGTGTCGTGAATGTTCTCACGGTGTCTGATAGTCACGGGTATGGACGAAAACCAGCGGTGTTCTTGGGTTGCGATTTCACACCCAGCGCTTGCAATTTCCTGTCTGAGTGGTGTTCGTACCTTGTACATATATGTAATTGTCTGAGTTTATTTTTCATCAGTCAGGATGTACTTCCTTTGTCTGACCTACGTATCTGTCTTTGCCCACAGGTCCACCGGCCTCTGGCGCTGTGTCTTCACGGGGTCCGTCTGACGCACACCGGGGCCGCCTCTCCCTCCCCCTCGCCCTCCCCCTCCTCCCCCTCCTCGGCGGGCCGCTCCTCCGCCTCTGCCCTGCTCTCCCTGGGCCAGTTCGCCGGGGTGTACGTGTACCAGGCCGGCGCCGAATGGGCGGTGGGCGGGGAGCGGCGCGCCCGCCTCCAGGCCGCCCGGGTCACCTTGGAGGGTACCAGTACCATAGACAACGGGCTGATGCTGGTGCTGCGCGCCGCGGCGCTGTGTGCGAGGCTGGACGGCGCCGCACCGCCGGACGGAGAGGGGGAGGCGGAGACGGGGGACGGACCGCCGCCGCTGGCCCGGCTGACCGCGGAGCTGGAGCTGCAGGCCACCGTGCAGCCGGTTAGTGGGGACCGAGGGAGTGAGGGGAGGGGAGGGTAAGTGAGGACGGTCTTTGGTGCCTCATGTCAGACTTTTATGGGCCGTCGTTGAAATGCTCGCGTTAAAGTAAAAATGTACGGTAAAAGAAGCGCCGGCTTGAAATATTAGAAACTCGAGGTGCTGAGCGCGCAAATGCAAGGTTATTTTTGCCCGTAACTGGGATACCGTATGTTTTGTTTTTATCTCCGTCTTCCTGAGCGCTTCCATGGCATCTCACGATGCATATCGAACCGTTGCATGCATGTCGCTAATGTAGGTGACGTATTTAACCTTCAGTTGGAACTGACGCGTTCCTCTCCGTCCTCAGGGAGACGAGCCGGACCAGCGCGGCCCGCCGCCGGCGCCCCAGCTGACGGAGGTGTCCGTGCGGCTGCTGCGGCCGGACGTCCTGCTGTCGGACCGTCTGGTGCCGCCGCTACTGGCCGCCGCCTCTGAGCCGCGCCCCGGCCCGCCGTCCCCTGTTCCGTCCCCTCCGGCGCCCGCCGGGGTGGAGCGGTGGCAGTGGCTGGCGCCCCGCGTCCCCGTCTCCGCGGCTCTGACCTTCTCCGAGCTGACCCTCACCTCTGAACACGGGGAGCGGCGGCTGGCCTCTCGACTGGGCAGCTGCCGACTGGAGGCGAGCAGCGCCCCGCGACTCACCGAGGCCAGCGCGTCACTCAAACTGGAGGAGCTGGGGGTGGAGACCGCCGACGGAGCGCGGCTGGCCTCACTCGCCAATCTGCAGGTACGGCTGAGGACTGGCCGGGCTCATAGGTGCGACTTTAATTTGCTGGGCTTGTTAGTCTGCTTTGTGTCAAAGTATTATGTCAGATGCTGACTGCTAGAATAACGATGTTGTTACGGCCACCAGTGCAATGTTGTAACTAGATCCGTATTGGATAGTGTCGTGGCTGTATTAACGCTTCATTGTTAGTTACTTATTGTTATTCCTGTCGTGATCGGACCGCTGAGTTCTGTTGCACTTGACGCCTCTCCCGCTCTCCCCAGCTGTCGGTGCGTGCCGACGACCTGGAGAGTCCCTCCCCGTCCCTGGAGGCTGCGTTCGGCGGCCACACGCTGCAGCTCACCTACAGCCACGAGGCGGTGTCGGACTGGCTGTGTCGGCTGGGGGTGGATCCGCTGCGGCGCCGACCGCCCCCGCCCCCGCCGCCGCCCCCGCCGCCGTCAGCCGCAGGTCGCCGCTGGAGGCTGAGACTGGACGCCGAGCTGTGGGACGTGGAGACGTGTCTGCTGCTGCCCGCACTGCCGCCGGTCAGTGCAGGGGAGATTAGGGGAAGATTTGAATTGATACGGTATTGGTTAGATGTGTGGGAGAGCCGTTGGGGTTTTCAAACGGAGATCTGGCGGAGGCAGGCTATCTATGTCGAAAATTCAGTTGTAGGCTCACGCCCACCTTTCTTTGAGAAACCTAAGCTCTTTTGCTATCTATCCAGGTGATGGCGTGTCTGACGCACGGTAAGCTGGGCGGCAACCCAGTTCTCACCTCTCACCCCGTCCCTTTCACCAGGTGATGGCGTGTCTGACGCACGGTAAGCTGGGTGGCTCTCCCCCCCCCCCCCTTCCACAGTGATGCAAATGGGGTTCACGAGTGGCCATAAATACCCAAAAGTCAAGTTTACCAAATCGAGTTAATTGTGATATGGCCGAGTAGACAAATGTTTGGGGCATCTGAAATCACATGGTTTTCATGATTTTGTCAAAACCGGCCTCGTGTATAATCGTCAGAAGTCGTGACATTTTCTAGGTCGTAAAATGACGGTCAGACACTCGCAAGTTCAAACGCCGCTGGTTTGCGTTCATTTCGTACAAATTGAAAAAATTATGCATGGGAATGATCCCCAAAGCCTTCTGCTTCTAATGCCGGGTCACAAAAAGCCTTATCTCATTCGCTTTGGCGGTAATTTGACTATTTATCATCATGTTGCAATCGCAGTTTTTTTACTAAGAAAAAAATGCTTTCGTTTCACCTACAGCACTTAACACAGTGTGTGCCCGTTAGTCCACCATACCATAGCCTTCCCTAATCATTTCTGAGTCGCATCGTGAAAGAATTAAGGCGCTAGCACAGGGCTGACCGGTGCTACAGAGGTTTTTGTCCGGGCGGTCGGGTGCCGCAGTGGGCGCGCAGTGGGCGGGTGGGTGCCGCCGCGCGGCGTCCGGGCGGCGCGGCGGCGCGGCCGCCCGGGCCGCCCGCTGCGCCGCGGCACCCGACCGTGCCGGACGAAAACTTCTGTAGCGCCGGTCACCCCTGTGCTAGCGCCTTAATTCTTTCACGATGCGACTCAGAAATGATTAGGGAAGGCTATGATATGGTGCACTAACGGGCACACACTGTGTGAAGTGCTGTAGGTGAATTGAAAGCAAATATTTTTGGTAAAAAACTGCGGTTGCAACATGATTACAAATAGTTAGCTCACCGCCAAACCAAAATAGATACGGCTTTTTATGACGTGGCATTAGAAGCAGCAGGCTTCGGGGATCATTTTCATGTATAATTTTTGCAGTTTGTATGACATGAACGCACGTAGCGGCACTTGAATTTCAAGTACCTGACAGTCATTTTACGACATCGAAAATGTCTCGACTTCTGACAATCCTACACGAGGCCGGTTTTGACAAAAACATTAAAATCATACTTTTTCAGACACCCCAAACATTTGCCTGACTGGCCATATTACGATTTATTCGATTAAGTGAACTTGAATTTTGGGCCTTTTTCGTATTTATGGCCACTCGTGAACCCCATTTGCATCACTGTGCCTTCCTCCAGTTCTCACCTCTCACCCCGCCCCTTTCACCAGGTGATGGCGTGTCTGACGCACGGTAAGCTGGGCGGCTCGCCGGCCGCCGGGGAGCTGGTCCTGGAGACGCTCACCTGCTGTCTGGGAGCGGCCGAGCCGGCCCAGCGCCGCCACGTGGCCGGTGCCGCGCTGGTGCTGGGAGCTCTGCTGGTCAGCCACCGGCGGGCCGCCGACGGCGCGCCGCCCAAACTGGGACTGCTGCTGGAAAACCTGCAGGTGGGTGGTAGGCTGGAGGGTGAATTAGATGATGGTGAAATTACAGTATAGTAACGTTTGTACATTTGGTATTATCAGTATTATAAGATGTTGAGAGTAGTGCTGTTGTGAGCATATTTCTATTCTTGCGGGCTCTCAGTAATTGTTAAAGAACCTGCGATAAACTTTCGTGTCGAAACAATCATAAAATATGTTTGTTTGGCACAATTTTCCTGACGTAGGCGGTATCGCTTGCGGTGATTTTCCACGGCCGAACTCCCTTGATGCCTGACATGTTAAACTGGCATGTCGTCCGCTCCTCAGGTGGAGGCCAGTGAGTCAGCGGCGGCGCTGGCCCAGTTCGCCACCGACTCGGCACGGCGACTGCTGCCGCCGTCCAAACCACCTGTCCCCGCCGCCTCGGCCGCCGGAGGATCGGCGTCACAGCCGGCGGACCTCAGTGTGCAGGTAGGGTGGATTTGTGCAGTAGTGGGCTTGAGAGTGTAGCAATCGGTGTAGCTGCTGAGCAGTGGTTTGTTGCGTCTGGTGATGTTATAAAGCTACTTACCTACTGCCTCATGGCCAATACTTGCGTTCTCGCCCTTGATGAACAACGCTGACCGTTGTGCCTCCGTCCCCGGATGAAGTCTGAAAATGAAAAGTAGTTTGTCGGATCCCCGCGACCGGCTCTGACTCCCCTCTGCCCTCTCTGTTCCAGGCGTCCAACCTGACGCTGCTGGCGGTGACGGGCGAGCACTGCTCGGCGCTGCGGCTCGACTCGGTGAACGGTGACCGCACGGCCGGCCTGCTCAGCTTCGTCGTGGAACGGGCGGCGGTGAGCGCCGGCCGGCCGACCGCCGCGCCGCCGCTGCCCTGCAACAAGGGCGCCGCGCTGCCCGAGCCCGCGCTGAACATAGCGCGGCTCAAACTGCGGGGGCGGACGGACGGAGAGCTGACGGTGTCTGTGAGGGAAACAGCCGCGGTCCGGTGGAGTCCCACCGCTCACCGGCACCTGAAAAACACGGCCGACTGTCTGAGGAGGTGGGCGGCGCTGCTGAAACCTCCTTCCCCCGCCGCTACCCCCGCCGCGCCGACCCCCGGTCCGCGGCTGACGGTCCGACTCCGCGCCGAGCTGACCGTGGACGCCGCTCTCTCCGATCACTGCCGGTTCGGTCTGACCGCCTCCGAGCTCTGCTGGATTCGAGACGGCAGCCGGGCCTGTCTGACGGCCGCTGCGCCCAAGTTTCTGTTCGACGGACACGAGATTATTGTGCTGCGGGGTCTGAGGGCGGAGCGCAGCACGGCGCACGTGGCGGCGGCGGCGCGGCGCGCAGCCTGTGAGGAGCTCCTCCTACCGCAGAATGACTGCTGGGAGGTGACCATCACTAGCCTGGAGGGCTCCGTGCCGTACGGATACGATTTCTCTGAGGCGTGGAGCGAGGAGCTGCTGACGACGGTGCGGTGGCTGCGCCGGCTGCACGGGCGGCCCAGCGGCCCGGCCAGGGAGGACGGACCGCTGCCGGCCGACCTCTGCATTCAGGTCAGTGGGGAGAGGAGGACAGGACTCGGCGAGGTCCGGACATAGTGATTGGACAGGAGCTAGTAGACTGTGGCGCCATAAATTTTAGGTCTAATTGACTGGCTTATCCCCTTAACAAAAGACAAACGGTGATTTTTTCTCTATTTTTGGACTATTTTTAAAAATTACACTAATGAGTAATGATTGTCAATACATTTTTCTTTCTTCATCGTCCTTAGGCTCTTAAGGTATACCTATGGCTGATGCCCCGTACCCGTTTCGCATGTAGTTTCTAATACATTCTGTTTGTTCCCCTGCAGATCAAGCAGCTCTCGCTGGAGATCTGTGACGACCCATTCGAGGTCAAACTGCGCGACAACTACGAGCTTCTGGAGGACGAGTATCACGAGAGCGTCAAACGGCGGCAGACGCTGGACCTGAAAATAGAGGAGCAGCGCCGCATCCACGGACTTCTACAGGCCAGAAAGGTCAGTCGATCGGGACGTGTATCGCTGTGTGCAGAGAGACACTGTCGCGCAGTTGCATGGTTTATTAGATAATGTAATGGTCTCCTTCCGAATGCTACTGCGGAGCATAAAGTCAGTAAAGTCATAATTTTAAGTTTTGTTCCGTTTCTCTGCAGCATTCGTCAGTGGTCTATTGAACCTCGCTGCCAAGTTAGAAACGTCGTCCCTATCCCTCCCTTACCATCATCCGCAGGTGGAGAGTCTGTACCAGCAGCTGCAGCAGCGGGACGCCCAGCTGTTCGTGCAGCGCGCCGCCCAGATGTACCGCAGCGGCGCACCGATGCGCACCCGGCTCCTCCTCTGGTCCATGGACTCGCTCGAGTTCTGGGCGCTGGCTGACCCCAGTTTTCACGGCCGCGCCGCCTGTGTGTCCGAGCTGCGCCGGATCGACCCGCTCTCCCCCTGGCCGGACGACGAGCCGGCCTTCAGCACGCTGTGGTGCCGCGAGCTGGTGACCAGCTGTCAGAGGTGGACGGTGACGCTGCGGGACTACCCGCAGCCCGTGCTGGACGTCCACCAGCTGCACCTCTGGGGACGGATGGTCGGCGCCGAGCAGGTGGCCGTGCCGCGCGCCACGCGTCAGCTGCCCGTCCGCCTGCAGTCGCCGTTCGAGGACGACCAGGTGGACAGGTCGCTGATGAGTCTGAAGTACTACTACGACCTCAGCTCGGACGTGGACCAGCTGGTGGCGGCGTACGGACCCTGCTGGGAGCCCGCCGTGGCCATGTTTAACCTCTGTCTGGAGAAGGTGCTCCGTCCCAGCACGGACCCGTCCCCTCCGCTGCCCTGGTGGGACAAAGTGCGCCTCAAGATGCACGGCCGGATCACGCAGAGCGTGCGGCAGCTGACGCTGCTGTTACACGCCTCGCTGGACCCCTACAACACCACGGAGGAGATGGAGCTCACCTTCGCCGACCTGGTCACCGACTGGACCGACGGCAAGATCGTCTTCAAGGGCGACCTCAGCGTCTACGTGCGCACCGCCAGCAAGTACGACGACTGTCGACTGCTGTTTGTGCCCGGCCTGAAGCTGGCCTTCAAGCTGGACTGGCTGTGTATGGGCGACCCGCGGGATCACCACGCAGTGATACCCTGCGCCCGGGATAAACTGCCAGAGTACTCGAGCAACCAGGAGCATGACTCGTTTAGGTGAGAGGACACAGGTGGAGGCGGGGTTGGGAACGTGAGGGATGTCAGGAGCGTGATCGGCCGATCGAAAAGTGTTGGCTGGCTGGTACGATGCACTTGGATCTGATGTTTTACAGGTCTTAAAAGCTCAATGATTATGGATATTTTTGACGGTTCCATGATTCACATTTAATTAAATATGAATGAAAGGTATGTGTATGCGTTGACATGACCCTCTGATTCTCTTTGATGTTATTATTCTGCATCTTATTCATAAGTTTCAATGTTAACATTATTTTCCGACATAATACTGTAGCATTCACATATATCAAGCCGACATAATGACGCCCCGATTTGCTGTACCGCAGGGCGTTCCGGTCCCAGAACCTGAACATGTCCATCTCGATCGAGACGCGGCCGCTGACTGCGCCGGCGGCCGGCGGTCCGCAGCCCGTGGTACCAACAATGCTGCTCTACGGCAGCACGCTGCGCTGGTTCGAGAACCTCCAGTTCATCCTGTCGGGGATGACCCGGCCTACCCGGCGCGGGGCGGTGTTTAATAATGTGCGGCCGCGAAAGGCGCAGCTGTCGAGGCACTACAAGTGTGTGAGACTGTCACTGAACCTGCACGCATTCCAGGTGAGATACGACGCTTGGCGATTGGGCTCTTCGGGTAGTCGTGTTTTTTGAAAAGTACCCTAACCAGATATCTCTGTAAAGGTTTCCATTTTGGCGACACGTAGGGAAAGATGTGACAGGTGCACAATACCATGATAGCTGTCCTGCCTCCATAGCATCTTTTACCTATTTCAGCTTCCATGTTTTTTTTTTGTTTTTTTTTTTTTTTGCTTACGTATTGAATATTGAAGCGCTCTCCGTGTTTTATCCTCGCTCCAGTTTGTTTCCGTGGCGTGACATGCCGCTCCCCGCCCCCAGGTCTCCTACTGGATGTCGTTCACGCGGCAGCACGGGCTGGACATCCGCGGCGGCCGGGTGTCGCTCAGCTCGGAGCACCGCCTCACCCTGCGGCCCGTCTGTGACGGCCTGAGGCACCGACCGCGCGCCTGCTGGGCCATCGAGTACCTCAACTGCGAGCTCAACGACGCGGAGGTGTGGCTGCAGAGCTCCCTGCGGCAGACGGAGCCGGGGGCCGCGCCCGCGCCGCCGCCCCCAGCAGACGCCGGCCTCGTGGCCAAGTGGTTCTTCCTGTCAGTGGTACGGGTGTCGTATGGTAGAGCGGCGAGTGTGGCCGATACCACGCGCGAGTGTCCCACCCACCGGCTGGTCGTGCATAACATGAAGGCAGCCTGGACCAAGGACAACCGAGACGCCGGCTTCGCGCTGTTCGACAGCTTCACCAACAACCAGCAGCTGAAGCGGAACCTCTCCACAGCCGCCCTCAAGGGCATCACGTTCGACTCGGGCTCCGGAGGGGCGACTCGGACCCCGCAGAAACCCCCGCGGACGGGCTCTCTGGACGGCGCGGCGGCGGCGGCCACCGGCGGTCTGAACAGCTCGCTCTCGGCCAGCACCCCGTCTCCGATGTCCCGGCTGCAGTCGGGCCAGGCCGCCAGTATGCTGCAGAAGCTGATCGCCGAGCTGGGCGCCGCGCCGGTGGCCTTCAGTGAGGACGCCGCCGGCGGAGAGCTGGACGAGACCGCGCTGCGCGGTGTGGCGGCCTGTCACGCCACAGACGTCCTCCATAACAGCTGGCTGGTGGAGCTCGTCAACTGTCAGGTCCTCCTCAAGGGGATCGAGACGCGCGGCTACGTCATCATCACCTCCTCCAAGAGTCAGGTCCTTCAGCGGCTCCACCGGCCCGTCTGGCGGGACCGAACGCTGGTCAGCAAGACCTCCTGGGTGGGCCGGCTGGACGGCATGCAGTACTACGCCACGGTGAGCGCCGGCCACCCGGCCAGCGACCCGGCCACCGAGAACATCATGTGGCTCACGGTGGACAATATCGAGGAGCGGGACGATGACGACATTAGGGACGTACCGGACCTGGTCGGCTCGGGTCAGTCGGTCGGCGGGGTGGTCACGGAGACGGTGGGAGCGGCCGGAGCTGACGAGCACGACAGCATTCAGCTGCAGAGGGTGGTGTCCCGGTGCCGCTGCGAGTTCTTCTACGCCAGCTATGGAGAGGTGGGTCAGAGGCGCAGTGGTCAATGGACGGGTTGCATTGCATTAACTACCTGTGCTGGTAGTTACCGAGATAGCTGTTGAATGATTTAAAAATGTTAGGGAGGTATTGTTCGTCAAAATATGGCAATAGCTAGTTCGTAGAATTTTGTGACACCGGTGTGGTGTCTATCAAAACTCAAAATGCTGTCAGGACCAGGTTCTGGCATTGTAAAGCTACATTTTACTCAAAGATTTCTCAGCTTAACCATGGATCAATGACTTGTTTCGGGTAAACTCACTGGTTGATCTCGTACATTGCCGAACTTCCGACTCGCAACTGACCCCTTGTCTTTCTTTCTCTCTCCGCCAGGTGTCGGTGGATCCGGACTCTGTCGAGTCGATCCCTCCTCTGCCGACGGCCCCCTCCCAGCTGTGGCCCGGCCAGGAGGAGCCCGTGGACGCGCTCACCGTCACCCACCACGACCTGAACGTGTGCACCAACAGCCTCCAGTACGCCATGGTGCTGGACATCGTCAACAATCTGCTGCTGTACGTGGCGCCGCGGCGCCGCCAGAGCTCCGACCAGCTGCAGCGGATGCGCTTCCAGATGCAGCTGTCGGCGCTGGAGGACCAGCGGCGGCCCATCCAGCAGCTGCAGAACCGCTGCAGGGCCATGATGTCGGAGATCCGGCAGCTGGAGAAGGCCACCTACCAGCTGCAGCGACAGCGGGACGAGGCGCCGGACCGCGCCGCGGCGGTCCGACTCCAGGCCGAGATGGCCGACAAGGAGCGCCAGACGCTGGATAAGAAGGAACAGCTCAGCGCATCGGCGGAGGAGCTGGCCATGAGGATTCACATCTACAAGGAGACGCAGCTCTCCAAGACGCCCAAGCCGGCGGCGCGGAAGGGTGACGCACAACAGCCGGTGTCCATGATCCGGACGGCGGAGGTGTGCATCCGGCACGCGCAGTGGCGACTCACCGAGCCGGACGGCCAGCTGGGCCTGGCAGACCTGGTCATCAGCAACTTCCAGTACACCAAGCATACCAAGAGTGACGACAGCGTGGAGCACCTGCTGGAGCTGGGCTACATCAGCATGTCGAACCTGCTGCCGAACCCAGCCTACAGAGACGTCCTGCAGCCCACGGAGACCCAGAGCGGGATGCCGGTGGACCGGCAACGCTCACTGCGCGTCTACTTCAGGGAGAGGCCGCCCGTCGGGGGCATCAGCGTCAAGGAGCACCTTGAGATCAACATCACACCCATCAACATCGGCATGACGTACCAGTTCTTCAAAACGATGCTGCGCTTCTGTTTCCCGGAACGTGACACGGAGCATTTGGAGGAGGACGTACCAGCGCCCAAAGAGAAGCTATCCAAGAAAGAAAAACGCAAACAGAAGAAGGAGAGCAGCTTCTACGTAGCCATCGAGAAGGATGATGTGGAAAAGATGAAGGAGCGCGCGCAGAACAACATGCTCTTCATCTACATCAAGGTGCCCGAGGTGACGGTGCGGGTCAGCTACAAGGGAGAGAAGGAGAAGAACCTAGAGGACGTGCACAACTTCCTGCTGACGGTGCCCACCCTCGAGTACCACAACGTCACCTGGACCTGGCTGGACCTGCTGCTGGCCATGAAGAACGACACTAAGCGGGTTCTGCTGTCGCAGGCCATCAAGCAGAAGCTGCAGATCGGCGGGAGGGGAGCGCCGGGCGCCGAGGAGCCGCCGCATGATGAGGAGGACAAGGCGAGGCTGCTGTTCGGGTCCATGATGGCGCCGGGAAGTGAGAAGGAGAAACCGGCCAGGAAGAGCTTCTTCCACCTGCACAGGAGCTAGGGGAGGTGGATAGTGTGAGCCGGACTGGAGAGACGGACCGAGGCTGTGGGTCGGGCTGGAGAGGCGGACCGACCCACCCCGGCACTAGAGCTTTAGGTACTGTTTGTCAGTGGGCTGTGCCTACTGACTGGAGATGGGATACTCTCCATCACACCTAGTCACTGGAGCACCGGCCCGCAGCACTACGCCGAGGCTGAAACAATACACCGAGACTGGAAGACTGGCCCTCGGCGAGCGATAAACAACCAACAGGGTGTCGGGCGTCATTTCATCCGAAAGGTAATGTTCCTTTTTCTCCATAATCAGTCTTTTGCATTCCTCTCTTTTCCAAGACGGCAGGTAACTTTGTCTTTTCCCGTACTGCACCATTTTCCAGTATCTAACCGTTGGCCACTAGTCCAAGTGGCGTTTGACCGTCCTGTTTTGGAGGTATTGAGTCCATCTGCGCGAGATAGTGCTATTTTTGCTGCTTGGTCAGTTTGTGATTGATGGAACAATGTGTTCACTCGCTGTTGAAGAGATGTGATAGTCTCTCACTTGTTGTTTCCTTCTCAACTGGTAAAGGCCAGTGCTTACCATCGACGCGTGCTGCTTCTTGGTCACTTCATCACTTCACAGCATTGCATACTGCTCTAAAAGCAGCCCTGGCTGCGTTACAGTCATACTCTCGATAGGTACTTGATACTTGATACCGCAACTGACGGCTCCTTTTCAATGCGCTATTGGCAGACGTCCTGGGCTCTCTAACTATGTTTTGTCCCTCTGATCCGAGAATAGCCTATTAGTTCCTGCGCGAGCTATAACCAGTGACACTCTTGTCTTTCACCGCTGCTGTCAGCTGTTCGTTGCGTGGAATCCGACGCTGATTCAATAGCTGATGACCGAATGATCTGCGGACGATCGTGTTATGTTATTTTGATGCAGCTCTTTTGAGCGTGACTAATTATATCGTATGCGATATATGATACCTATGCTGTGTCAGGTGGATGTTAGAATGTTGTTGTGATCGCTGCAATCCTCGATCAAGTCAAAGATTAAAATATATATTGTGCAATATATCTGAAGTGTTTATTGCCCTTTAAAATTAGTTAAAAATTAAAATAACAGTGTCTTCAGTAAGGAGCGCTGCCCTTTGATGAGTAAGCATAGGGCCGAACATCCTAACCGGTCCTCCGCGAATGCCTGTAACCTGTTTGGGAATTATGAAGATCTGGACTATGGAGGTCCAGCATACTGAGACAGAGGGCATTGGTCGTGAATTGTGATATTGTCGTTGCCGGTATCCAGACTGGCGACAGGGGCGATGCAAGCAGGGGCACCAGCAGCTCTGAATGACCGGTGACCGCATCCATTTAACGGCCACCGTTTGGCTGTGGCGCTAGTTCTGGGTCTAGATTGGAGGGTTGACTGTGCTGTGTAGTGTACCTCGTCGACTGTATAGTGACTGACTGATCCTTTTCTCCCAGCCTGTCGCCTCCGGATCACCCGAACGCCTCCTGTCCTGCCGGTCGCTGCATCCCTGCCGATCGCCGCCTTGGCTCTGCGTCTCCTCGCTGGGGGCGGGGCTGCCGGCGCTGCCTTCCGAGGCCCGCGCCCCTCGCCGGGGGCGGGGCTGCCTCTGCTGCCTGTGGTCCGAGGCCCGCGCCCCTCCGCCAGGGGCGGGGCCGTCCGTGCCGCCGTCGCCGTCGCTACTACCTCGACTCAAGGCCACGGTCGGTCGTTCTGCGCGTGCGCGCTGGGACGGCCCGGCGTCGGCCGCCGACGCTGCCTCGTTGAACGCCGGTGACGTCGGGGGAAGGAAGGAATCTCGCGACTGCTCCAGGAACCAGCACCTACAGCGGTGAGTTGAAACTCGGGCGGGTCTGGGGAGTTGATATCTGACTGTATTGTGGCGGATGCCCGATATATTTCAGCTGTTGAGCTGTGCAAGGCGTTTGACCAATGTTTTGCGCGTCACGGGCTCGGACGGAAGCGGCTCATGGCAGCAACCGAGCTACGCAGGTCGGTGGAGACTGGCCGAGGGGTTCGCTGTTGGTGGGCCGGTCTGAGGGCGGGAAGTGGCACGGATCACGGAATGTTTTCAGTCCTCTCACTTTTGTGAAATGGTTGGGATTTTTATTGACGTGAATTTTACCGTGCGCATTTTCCGGATTTATGCTTTACCGGTAATTGCTGAGCAGCTTTGGCCTGCTTCCTAAGTGCTTATTAATTTTAGTTTATCAAAGCCTGCTAGTGAGCGTTTGCTATTTTCGGTTATCGAATAGTGTCATGGTCGAACTCATTTATTCACTCGAAGTAGAAAGCCCCCCCCCCCCCACTCCCCGTCTCCCCGTCTTCCGCCCGTCATGGTGAATGGTGCCATCGTCGGGTCCGACTCAGCGCCGACCTTACCGCGTGGTTCGTAACGATGACGCTGCACAATCGGCCCGGTGCGCGCCGAGGAGTGTGCGGAGAAATCGAAACTCACCGGGGGAAATGGTGAATTGCTCCTTTGGGGTATGCCTTCTTTCTGACGGACAATGACTCGACCGGCCAGACGGGTATCTTAAACGTCGCTGTAAGCTAGAAAAGATATCTATTGCCAACGACAATCTATTGGCAACATACAAAAATGCAACATAACATGATGCTATCAATGTCTGTCAATGGCCACAGAACGTTCCCCGAAACTGTGTTTGTTCTCTCGGTATTCGCGCACCTTCCCTGTAATCGGTATTTCCACCCCCCCCCCCCGTTCTACCATACATAATTTCGGACGGGCGCTTTCACGGATCCATTGTCGTGTCTATGTAAGTACATTAGGAATAATGCGTGTTTAATAACTTACCCCCTCCTTTACCCCTGTTCGCTAGCCAGCTGTGCCGCCGTTTGTCGACCTCCAGCCGACTGTGACTGACAAACTGGCGGGGCTCATTAGCGTCTATAACTAGCCGCTCAGACGAGTCACGGTGCCCCTATCCACTCCCATCCCCCAGAACAACTGTACGAAGCAGGGGTGGGACGGGGGTGCCCGCATAGGAACACACTAGTGTGCCGCGTGGGCCCGAAAGGTCTGACTCAGCTTCCTCACCCCATATCGTCCCCCTTGGTGTAGCAGCGGATGGTATGCGATGGGACGCGGGAGTTTGGAGTCTGCAACATGCATGCATCGTTGTATGCACGCTGAGGTGCATCGTTAATCGGAGACATTGTGTTTGTTTTGCATCAACCCAGCTGCTCTATTATAAACACAAGGTGGCTCCATGGTCGGGAATGTTTATGCTACAGCTGATGAAGGAAAACAGACCGCTACCGAACATGCCAATACGAGTTGTAACAGAGGTGCCCTTTTTATTTCTACACCACTGGTATACGGAAAAATAGCTGTGAGCTATCAGATTGGTTCTTTGCAGGTCTGACGAGCTCTCGTTTTTTGGTCAATATAATTTGTCATTTTTGTAGTTTTTAATCGTGTAAATGTTACTCGATTTGCCTCGGCATGTTTTTTTTTTTTTTTTGCATTGGGGCGTTGAGGTGACGGCTCTGTTTCATTGGGCAGACTTGGTTTTATCGCTCGGTACGTTTTATGTTTGTGCTCACTACTCTGTTTGGTTAGCGATGAAGACTTATTTCAGCGTGTATTCATTATTACGACACAGACTACGAAGGTGAGTAGCCTGAACCATTCTTTGGTGCACTTTTTGTTCATTTGTTTTGCCGTAGAAGGGTCTCCCGCAGTCGGTGTCCATAATTGTTTATTTACTAACCGCTGTCAGATATCTGTCTGGCTTCTGACAGTCTGCCGTTGGCACATTTCAATTTCATCCGTCCTCGGTTCGTGTTCTGTACTTCTGCCGGCCACTCTCCATCACGGACCCTCCTGGCCTGTCCGCTCACTGCCCTGGCTCGGTACGATAAGTACCGGCGTTATCGGTCGACCGATACCCCGACACGGGTCCTCTATCGACGCTGGGGGGTGGGGAGGGAGGACAATGGTCAGATATGGGGCGGGGCGGCGGGCGGAGCCACACCCCTCCCCCTCCTCCCCGCCCGGACGGCCGGGTCATGTGACAATCTCCTGTGTCAGAATGAATTACCGTCTCAGGCACGAACTGCGGATCTAGCAGCACACTGCTCTCGGCCTAGCCGTGGCTTTGTCCTGGATTTATTCCTCAATGCCCTCCCCCCCCCCCCCCCCCTCCCCCGTACTTGAGTGTCAGTGCCTTTCTCCGATCTCGTGGCTCGAATCATGTATCCTTGCGGCGCCCTGTCTCCATGGTCCCCCCCCCCCACACACACACTTCAGTGGCGGTGTGTATGTTGACACAGACTGTCAGCTGACGGCGGCCGGCCGGGCGGCGACGGCGTCCTCACAGGCCCGTTTGAACAGACTCCCAACACAGTGGCCCGTGCGGCGTCAGTGGAACAGGAGCGTGAGACTGTGGTGGTGGAGCGTTGGGCAGGGACGCTCTGAGCTTATCTAGAGGTATACATGTATTGTAGATACAAAGCGCAGTCAATAGGCTCATACTTGTTAGTAGGAGGTTATTCTTACCAGATAAGTCCTTACTACTATTTCTTATATGAGTGATAACTATAAATGTTTTGATGCAACTTTGCATGATGGTGCTAAAACGACACCAATATCTGTGTTTGTATGGTGTTGTCGCTGCTAGAAAGTATCTATATTTGCTTGAGATTAGGTAATGGCCTTGGCCTGAATGGCGTGCCCTCTCTAGTGTTGGTAACGGTGACGGCGCGAAGCAGGAGGCACCATCACTGTCCCCTCTATCGTCACGCTACACGTGAATGGTTCTCCAAATCGATACTGCTGCGGTTCCACCCGATTCCTGGTCTTGTTCTGTTCCAAATTTTTCAGTTATCGGTTTTGCCCCTGATTATCTTATTTTAATAGTGCAAATATCACCAATGTTTACCGGTGCGGCTCACTACCATATTACACACTAGATACGCCCTGTTTTTTTTTTCTGTCTGTCTGACCTGACCTGACCTGACGCAGAACCCGTTCTCTAATATGACCTGACCTGGAGGACCTTTCGGCTGACCTGCCAATGCTAACCTGTGGCCCAGAACGCTAACCTTTGACGGTGAGATAACGCTGACTCTGACCCTGACTCTACCCTGCTGACCTGACTGACCCATGACCTGACTCGTCACCTGACTCGTGACCTCTGACCCTTGACCGTGTGCCTGTCGACAGGCCGGCGCCATGACCACAGTGGCGGAGGACAATTTCGGCGTGTTCCGCACTCGGAACACGAGCCAGCCGGTGCGCCGGTTCACCCTCTCCAACTCTGCCGGCACCGAGGCCCAGGTCATCAACTACGGCGCGCGGCTGACCTCGCTCAAGGTGCGCGGCCGCTCCGGTCAGCCGGTGGACGTCGTGCTCGGCGAGGACACCTACGACGGCTACCTGGCGGCGACGAGCCGCTTCTTCGGCTGCACGGTCGGCAGGGTGGCCAACCGGATCGCCGGCGGCACGTTCACGCTGAGCGGCCAGACGTACCAGCTGACCCAGAACCGGCCGCCGCTGCACCTCCACGGCGGAGAGCGCGGCTTCGACCGGCAGCTCTGGGGGTCCCACGTGGCCGGAGACAGCGTCACTTTCACCTACATCAGTCCGGACGGCGAGGAGGGCTACCCGGGTCAGCTGACCACCCACGTGACCTATCAGCTGACCGAGGACAGTCAGCTGGTGATCCGGTACCAGGCCATGACGGACCGGCCCACCCCGGTGAACTTGTCCAACCACAGCTTCTGGAACCTGGCGGGGCACGGCGCCGGCCGGGACGCCCTGCTCCGGCACCAGGTCACCATTAACGCCGACACGGTGCTGGAGGTGGACGACCAGTGTCTGGTCACCGGCCGCCGGCTGCCCGTCGCGGACTCGGCCTTCGATTTCCGCCTGCCGCGGCCGCTCGGGGAGGCGATGGCGGCCGCCCCGGGAGGCGGGTTCGACCATAACTTCTGCCTGGAGCGGCCCGAGGACGGCGCGGTGGGCGCCGCCGCGGCGGTGCACAGTGCCGACTCGGGTATAGCCATGGAGGTGTTCACAGATCAGCCCGGCCTGCAGTTCTACACGGGGAACTTCCTTCCGGCGGACGGAGCCCCTGGTAAGGCGGGCGCCACCTACAGCCAACAGGGAGCCTTCTGCATGGAGACGCAGAAGTTCCCGGACGCTGTGAACCGGCCAGAGTTCCCCAGCACCATCGTTAACCCGGGTGAGGTCTACCAGCACACTTGCATCTACAAGTTCTCCGTTCGTGATGTTCTGTAGTAGGTGGCGCTGCGATCGGTCTGGGAGGGCTGGTGTGTAGGTGGCGCTGCGAGCGGTGTGATTTGTAGATGGCGCTCTGGAGGCGTGTGGTAGTGAATTCCTGCAGCCTGCGAGATCGTGGATGCTCCGCTTGCCAGTAAGTCAGCTCAATCAGGGAGAGGGACTAACCTATCAAATTCAGTAGCTAGTCTTACCAATTGGTAGCATGATTCTTTAGCGCATGACCTAGAAAATGGAGCCATCAGTCGCTTTGACAGTATTTTAGCTCAGGTAACCTGGTCCGCTCTTAGCTCGCGTCACGTGGAAATGAAAAGAAATTGTCACTGACGATTTCAGTCCTGTGTTTCAGGAAACATTGCGTTGTAGTCAGTTGAGGGTGTGCTTTTTGACTCGCCTTGGGCCACTGGCTGGTGTATTTTGGTCACTAGGTCGGACACCTTACGCTGGCTCCCGATGTGTGGAATCGGCGGGTGTGGTGGACCACTGCGAGTGTCGGGCATTTTTGTGGGAGTGTTCAGGGAGTCAACCAGTTCAAAAGTGTGCGTGTGTGAAATGTCTGCCTGCCAGCATATTTTACAATACATACAAGTCATAGAAATACTGTTTTTATACGGTGAGTCGATGAGCAACGGTTTCAAGATGGAGCAGATTTGATTGTTGAACATCGAGGAAGTCAAAACAATCGTTCTGTCCTTTGTCCTTCTAAATATTTACTGATCAAAGTCAAACAATCAAAGCAAATTGGTGGTTTTGACACTAACCTAACATCTGCTGAAGGGACGAGATCTATGCCAAGCTTATTGTATAGGATCTGAAGACTATCCATCTGACTTCCACCGTCCAAGTGGAGATCAACGATGCACAGTCAATATACAGCCGATATCAACGATATGCAGCGGATGGCTCGATTTTATTTTATAATAATCACCTCTGGTCTCAATGATCCCTCTGTGTAGGAATTGGCGCAAAGTGGTCAACGCGCCTTTAGAGCATAAGAAATGTATAAACGAGCAGTTGTAACGGCAGTGCTGTTACATTGTCTCGTACCGCAGCTTCACTGACCCGATCTCTCCGTCTCAACAGCTCCACGATGGCCGGCCTCGGTGACCTGAACATGGCGAACCCGGTGTTCGTCACCTACCTGTTCTACGCGGCCGTGCTGGGCCTGAAGACGCTGTTCATGTCGCTGTTCACTGTCCGGCACAGGATGGGAAACAAGGTGAGACTGACGTGCAGAGGGCTGAACTGACGCTGTCTCGCTTTATTTTATGTACGATTTGCACAATTTCATCCGGTTATTGCAGGTTCGCAATTGCAATGATGAGCTATTCAGCTATCGACATATAGCTAGGATGGCATTGCTTCATTCGCAGAGGTTCAACTTGTTTAATCCCTTGACGTTTTGTTTCTTTATATCGTTGCGATGCGACCATATTTCAATGATACGCATGTATCGACCGTTCTGTCTATTTTTTAATAGCTTTTTTTTTCTCGTCAGCCCATCAGCTGTCTCGCTCTCCCTCTCCCGAAACCCTTTCTCACAAGCCGCCCCTCCCCACCTCTCCCACCAGGTGTTTGCCAACCCGGAGGACGCCAAGGGCCTCCAAGGCAAGGTCAAGTTCGACCACCCGGACGTGGAACGGGTGCGGCGCGCGCACCTGAACGACTTAGAGAACGTGCTACCGTTCCTGATACTGTGCCCGCTGTACCTGGCCACCGGGCCGGCCGCCGCCACCGCCACCACCCTCATCAGGGTGTTCGCCGCTGCCCGGCTGCTGCATACCGTCGTCTACCTAAATGTGGTCAGTACTGGGGAGGCGCTGAATGTGGTCAGTACTGGGGAGGCGCTGAATGTGGTCAGTACTGGGGAGGCGCTGAATGTGGTTAGTGCTGGGGAGGCGCTGAATGTGGTCAGTACTGGGGAGGCGCTGAATGTGGTCAGTGCTGGGGAGGCGCTGAATGTGTTTAGTGCTGGGGAGGCGCTGAATGTGGTCAGTACTGGAGAGGCGCTGAATGTGGTCAGTACTGGGGAGGCGCTGAATGTGGTTAGTGCTGGGGAGGCGCTGAATGTGGTCAGTGCTGGGGAGGCGCTGAATGTGTTTAGTGCTGGGGAGGCGCTGAATGTGGTCAGTACTGGAGAGGCGCTGAATGTGGTCAGTACCTACTGGGGATGCGCTGAATGTGGTTAGTGTTGTGGGGAGGCGCTGAATGTGGTCAGTACTGGGGAGGCGCTGAATGTGGTTAGTGCTGGGGAGGCGCTGAATGTGGTCAGTACTGGAGAGGCGCTGAATGTGATCAGTACTGGGGGGTGGCGCTGAATGTGGTCAGTACTGGAGAGGCGCTGAATGTGTTTAGTGCTGGGGAGGCGCTGAATGTGGTCAGTACTGGAGAGGCGCTGAATGTGGTCAGTACTGGGGAGGCGCTGAATGTGGTTAGTGCTGGGGAGGCGCTGAATGTGGTTAGTACTGGAGAGGGGTAAGGGAGGGGTAGCGGCATTGGGCAATGGCGTCATATGGTGGGTGCTGCTCGGGGGTCTGACGGGAGACATGTTTGGTGAGGTGGGTACTGGCTGTGTTTGGGCCAAAAAGATGGCAAAAACTGGCTGGGGCTGAAGTTTCGTGTGTTTATGGGTGTTGAGGGGGGAGGTTTATGTTGTATGTAGACCAGCATGTGGGTGGAAGAAGCTAATGTTAATTTCGTTTTGACGGTGAGGGTGAATTTGACGGAAAGGAGCTTGATATCGCCGACAAGCACCACCAAGCTTATTGTCGAGTAAGAGCCGATTCTGACCGATCGTTTACCCCGCTCTTCCAGGTGCCGCAGCCGTCCCGTGCGCTCTGCTTCATGGTCGGGATGGGCGTCACCGTCTACATGTGCGTCCAGATCCTGCTGGCCACCATGTAGAACAGACATCTGAAGCTGAACGAACCACCGTGCCAGTAAGGCTTCCCAGCCGCTCCTGGCACCACTCATAAATCTACGCATCGAATTATACGCCTGACCGAGAATCGCGCCCGGGGCCAAGCTATGCTCATGGATTTATTGATTAGCCTTGTGCAGCAATGTGTTGAGTCTGTGTGTTATCGCTTATGAAGAAACTACAAATGTGCTTGCAATAAAGACGAATATATATCATTCACGTTTTAACTTTGAAGTACCTACGTGCGTTTTTTAATCGATTTTGTTCTCCATTATTTTTTTTTTCGAGCCGCTGCGATCGAAACACCGCAGTTTCCCTTCACGTTGCTGGTCACGTTCACTTCCCCTCGATCCCAGCTAGTAGCATGCTTTCCTCTTGTGAGATCTTTCCGCGCTTCCAACTAGTTCGGATGGTCATCCAATCCTACATGAACCAATCGTAATGGCCTGCTTAAAGACATACAAAGTGATAGCGGAGCTGTAGTTATTAACGGTAATTTGACAATCTGACAAATAAGTCAAAAGACGTTTAGGCTCAACTCTGGACCAGACAAAGCTCAGCCAGTGTTACGTGTTGTCTCCTTTAAATGCCGGTCTCTACCACCGGGTCCCGTCGCCTTTCGTCCTTTTTTGCTCCCCGGCCGCTCCTGCCCCTCAGGTACCGGGCATGTGCGGCAGCTCGTCGTGTGTTCCCTCCCCGGTGACCAGCACGCAGACAGGATCCGGCAGGCAGGGCCCGCTCAGCTCCAGTGTGGCCGAGTACAGCGCGCAGCTGGCCGGCGCGAACGTCAGGCTGACGTGCTGTCGGGCGCGCGGCGCCAGTACCCCGAACTCTGGGCTCAGTCGGAAGGTGGCGGCGTCCGGTCGGCGCGGCGCCAGGCGCGTGCTGCGCCGCCGGCTCAGCCGGCTAGCGACGGACGTCTGAGGGGACGGCAGGCGAGCCACCAGCCGCGCCGACCAGCTCAGCTCGCCGATCGTCGGGTTGGAGATGTACAGACCGCGTTTCGCCACGTCTCCTACGGTGACCTGTTGGAACTCGATCAGCTCGACGGAGACGTGCAGCGCCGGCAGCGCCAGTATACACTCGACTGGGAACGCCTGGACGTGCGAGTCCATGTACTGGAGCACCAGTTTGGAGCGGAACCGGACGCGCTCCTCGCCAGAGTCGGTGGTCAGGTGGACGACTTCCACCTCCCGCAGGCAGTAGTCGGCCGCCCGCTGCTCGGCAGTCATCTCCGCCGACCGGGAGCAGAGCAGCTGCTGCAGGGAGGCGGACGGCCCGGCGGCGGCGGCGCCCAGGTCGGGCTCGGAGCGGGCCCTCGCCCGGCAGCTGCCGGTGGGGTCAGAGCCCGGCTCGGAGGGGGCCCGCTCAGAGCCGGTGAGCAGCTGCTCGGCGGAGCGCGTCTCCTCCTCCAGCGGCGCGTCGTCGGCCGGCGGACAGCCGTCGCTGACGTCCGACCAGTCGGGGTCGTCCAGAACCTCCACCTCCCCGCCGGGAGAGAACCGCACCCGGCGCGGCTCGGTGAGTCGCTCCGTCAGACAGAACCGCAGCAGGGCGCGGGAGAACACAAACTCGACCGTCAGCTGGGTGTGGCCGCTGTGGGGCACCACGCACCGGCCGGGCCGCTCCACGGCGCCGCGCGGCGAGGCAGCGCGCACCAGCATGAACGGCAGCGTGGTCCAGCAGATCACCTCCACGTCCACCTGGTGTTTGTTGTGCAGAGTGAGCCGGGAGAGGAGCCGGGCCACCGAGCGGCGCGGTCCCTCCACCAGCGCTGTGACCGGCGCCACCATCCGGACGGCCTCCTCGGCGCCGGCCAGCACCGGCGGCGGCCGGAACCCGACCGCCGCCGTCTCCGGGTAGGCCACGGTCAGGTAGGCGGAGCGCAGCTGGGCCCGCAGCTGCACCTGCAGCGGCCGCCGGCTGTAGCCGTCCCGCCGGGTCACCAGGCCGCCGGGTGGTGCGCGGTCCTGCTCCCTCAGCGAGCAGTGGGCAGTCAGCCAGGCGAGGACGTCCACGGGCCGCTGCCGGCGCTCCCTCTCCCAGCGAGAGGCGGCCGGCGGCAGGCAGACTGGGTGCAGCTGCAGCAGCACCCAGACCTTGGAGCGCGCCGGTACCACAGTCACCTCCGGCGTCACCGTGTAGTACGCCTGGCTCTCCTGTCCAAACACCGGCCGCAGTCCGAGCCGGAGCGTGTCGCTCGTAACCCTCCACTCCCACAGTGGCAGCAGCGGCTCAAAGTCGGCCCCCAGCGAGAGGAAGGCGCGGAACGGCGGCGGCCGCTCCTCGACCGGCGTCTCCAGAGCCACGGCCATGTTCAGCTGGATCGGGCACGGCGACACGTTATTCAGACACAGGTGTCTCTCGACGGGCGCGCCGCCGTACAGCTGACACCCGAACCTGACGTGGTTGGATCCGGTGTTGACGGCCAGCAGCGGCGAGCCGGTGACGCCCACCCGCAGGTCCACCGTCAGGTCGGGGATGCCCTCCCCTGAGACGATCAGCTGGTCCGAGTACCAGCCCCACATGTCGGCACAGCAGAACACCCGCACCAGGGTCTGGCTGTGGGCGGGCACGGCGAACCGGGCCGGTCGGACCAGCAGCGCCAGACCGCGTCCGTCCGAGAGCAGCTCCGACCATACGTCCTCCCGCTCCAGATCGTTGATACGGCGCTTCTGGGGACGCGAGAGGGAGGAGGAGTGAGGTGGTAAGGGGGCTGAGGGTTGGCATGGTTGTATAGGACGTGCACAGGAGTTACCCGAAGGATCCTAGCTCAATTCCAGGTCCAGATGAGCCGGCTTACAGCTCAACTCCCAGCGAAGCTCAGCCCAGGTTCCGGCCCATCTCATCCCAGTTTCCAGCTCATCTGGCCTCAGCCCCCACCTTAGCTCACCCCATCGGCTCCAGGCTAAACCAATACCCGCCCCAGCTCACCTCGACCGTCATGGGCGGCTCTCCGGCGCACCTCTCCTGCTGCAGGCCGGGGAAGTTCAGCACGCGCGCGCTGCACTGCATCGATATGGGCGTGTTGTTCCTCACATGTAGCTCCCGCACTACCACCGAGTGAATGTCCACGTCGTGTCCAAACAGCAGCACCAGCGGACCACAGCCGGCCTCCGCCGACTCCACCAGCTCCCACTCAGCCACCAGCTCCTCCACCGTCGGCTCCGGGGTCGGAGCCCGCTCCGGCTCCGGAGGAGGCGGCGGCTCCGGCTCCGGCTCCGGTTCAGGAGTCGGAAGGCGGTCCTTGCCCTTCTTCTTACCCTTCTTGGCAGCTTTTGGTGACTTCTTTTTGTCCTTCTTTGATTTGGGTGACGGCGGTGGTGTGGGCGGTTTCTCTGGCTCCGGGGGCGGCTGGGCGGCCAGTCGGGCGGCCTCCTCCTGCGCCTCTCGCTGCTGCTGCTCCAGCTGACGGCGCCGGCTGCGACCCAGCACCTGCCTGCCCTCGCCGAGGTCGGGCACCCCGGCCGGCCGGTACCCCCAGTTGGGCGCGATGTGGACGGACGCAGACAGTGCCATCACCTCTCCGTACAGCGTCAGTGGCGCGGAGAAGGAGCGGTCCTCCAGCCAGCAGGGGATGCAGTAGTAGCCGTACGGGCCGGCTCGCAGACCGGTGATCCGCAGCTCAGAGACCAGAGTGGCCCAGGGCAGCAGCACGCCGCTGGCCGGCTCCAGGGTCACCTGTACCGACTCACTGGCCGGCACCTCCCAGCGGAACGGCACGTCCATGTCGCAGGTGCTCGAGACGAACACCATCATGGCCACGGTGCCGCCCAGGTAGGCGTCCAGCTTGTGGAAGGCCGGGGTGACGGACAGCGAGAGGTGGCACGCCTCGGCGCAGATGGAGACGGCGCTGCTGCGACTGCTGCCGTCCACTCCGACATCCAGCACCATGTCGTAGGTGGCCGGCGCCGGCGGCTCGAACGACACCGTCAGCTGGGTGCTCTCGCCGGCCCGCAGCAGGCCCGAGCACGGACTGACCGAGAACGGGTCCACCTGGCCGTCGAACCGCCAACCGCGCTCCGCCGGCCGCACCGGGGAGCGCTCCACGATGCGCGCCGTGCGCCACTCGAGCGGCAGCTTGGTGGGGTTGGTGAGGGTCAGCTGTCTCTCAGACCGGGCTCCGACGCGAGTGCGCGGCATCTCCAGCCGGTGGGTGCTGATCTGCAGGGCGGGTCCGAGGAACGCAGCCACCACGGGCAGGCAGACGCTGCGGCCGAACCGGCGGCTGGTGCAGCGCAGCTCGGCAGTGAGCTGCAGCTCGCGCGCCGACCACAGGGTGACGGTGAGCGGCAGTCGGCCGCGCGCCGGCACCTGGCCGCTCTGCGGGCTGACGCTGACCAGCAGGTCGCCGCGCCGCACCGTGCACCACTCGAACGGCGCCGCGTAGTCCGAGTCGTTCACCACCGTGACGGTCCGTGAGACGCGGCTCCAGAAGGGCACCGGGTCGGGCAGACGCAGCAGCGGTGGCTCCAGCCACAGCGGCAGCGGCTCGCAGCGGCACAGGGTCTGCACCTCCAGCGCCAGCGCGTCCCAGACGGGCGGCCGGCCGGCCGGCGGCACAGAGCGGGAGCGCGCCGGCCGCCGGCGCCGCGGCGCGTGCAGGTCGAGCGGCGCCGGCCGCTGCAGGCAGCTCACCGAGGCAGAGCGCCGCGCCGCCGGCCGCCGCTCCAGGCGGGACAGCAGGCCCGGCCGCGGCCAGCCGGGCTCGAAGCGCACATCCTCACCGTCCAGCCCCGTCTCCGGCATGTTCTCGAGCAGCAGGCTCCAGACGACGCGCCGCTCGCCGAGCCGGCTGGTGGTGCAGCTGAACGTCACCCCGACCTGCTCGAACGGTCGCAGTGTGCCGCGCGCCGGGCTGGGGCGGGTGTCGCTGCCGGCCGACACGTCCGAGGCGTCGTGTCCGTAGGCGTCCAGTGCGCCGGGCCGCGGCTCCCAGCGGTAGGTGAGGGGCACCCCGCTGGTGTTCCTCAGCTGCAGCGAGCTCCGCACCTCCAGCCGCGGCAGGGTGTCGGGCAGCCGCAGGAACCACTGGCAGTATTTGTCGGCGCGCTGCCCCACCGCCGGCTGGTGGAACTCGCCGCTGGCGGCCACCAGACGCGCCGCGCCGCGCACACCGCTCCCACACACGGTCACATGGCGCACCTGGGCGTTATCGCAGACCAGAGTGAGCGTCTGCCGGTGCGGGCCGACCGCCGCCGGGATGTAGGACACCTCCAGCTGCACGCTGTCGCCCGTATCCAGCGTGAAGTGGTCGGGCTGGACGGCGAAGCTGGCGCCCTCCAGGTCTGGCGCTATGCCGCTGAGCTCGGCGGGCTCCCCGGGCCAGGCAGAGCGGCGGAGTACTCGGAACTGGCCGTGGCCGCCCTCGTTGGTGACGGTGACGAGCCGTCTCTTGCGGCAGCCCACCAGCGCCTCGCCGAGCTCGATGGTAGCGTCCATGACGAGCACGGGAGGACGGTGACTGACTAGCAGCGGCACGGCCAGCTCGCCGAGCGGAGTCACCACCAGCAGGCGGTCGCGAAAGGTGCGTCTCCGGCGCGCGCGGAACGCCAGCCGAGCCTCCAGTGAGAGACCCGGCGCCAGGGTGCACTGCGCTCCCGGGAAGGTGATCTTAGTGAGCTGGAACTGGGGTGTGACCGGCGGCACTAGCCTCAGCCACAGCAGGGAACACGACACGTTTTTGACGCGCAGGCTCAGTTCGTAACTGCGGTTCACCTGGAAGTTATCGAGCCGCACCTCGGCCGGCTCTGCGCGCACCACATACGCCGTGACGTCCCCGCTGGCCGCCGGTCGTCCGGCCGACGCGCGGCCCAGCTGCGGCAGGATCATCTCCAGGCCGACCAGGGAGCTGCCGCCGGTCAGCGGCTTCCCCCGGCCGCCCTGGGGCTCCTCGGACTGCCTGCGGCGCGGCGCCGGCTCGGCCGGCCGCGGCTGCTCGCTGCAGAAATCCTCCGGCACGAGGAGCTGGTACTTCCTCAGCGCGGACGAGTCCAGCTCGGTGAGCAGTTTGGTCTGACGGAGCACGTCCAGTGAGGGTGCGGGCGGCGCTCCGTCGGCCGCGGCCGTCGAGCCGGCGAGCCGGGCGGCGCGCGCTCGCAGCAGGTGCTTCTCGATGCCCTCCAGGTTGGCGCGCGTCTGCACGTAGTCATCGCGCAGCGCCGTGAGCTGGTTGACGAAGTCGGCGTGCAGTGGGTCCGGCTTGGTGGGCAGGCTGGTCTCCAGGCGGCCGATGAGCGCCTCGTCTGCAGAGCTCTGCCGCCGGTGCAGTCCGTACAGGTGGCTCAGAGTCGAGGACAGGTCCTGACTGCCGGCCACCAGCGGCCGGGGGATGTCCGGCCGCGGCAGGTCCCGCTCCATGGCCGCTGAACGCTGAGACAGGTGCAGCGGCCGCCTACAGTCCTCGACTACACAGTGGCTTCATCGTGGGCTCATCCATATCACTTCTGCCTAACTTTCAATCGGGCCAAAAAAAATGTTTTTACTCTATCATCAAATGCTTTTCATTTATGTTAGTTGTGGAATATGAAACGATACCTATGCAACTTTTCCATGTTTCTGTTCCCTTATTTGCATTGTGAAAAGCTCACAAATAAAGCGCCAAAAATAGTTGGTTAGCAATTTCAAAATATGCACGTGCCTACCATTCGTGGCTACCTGATTTATATGCTCGGGATTTTGTAGCGACAGGATTGTTTCGAAATCATAGCTCTCTAGCGTAAACTGTCTTACCTACTGCTCCAACTCCAGCGCCCCTTGGTCCGCCTCTGAGCCCGACCTCCCGAACTCGTGCGCCTGGGACCGCCACTGCTCACCTGTGGCCGTGTCAGACGATGGGGGGATGTCCGCTGTGGGGATGGGTGGGGTGAACAGCACAGCCAGAGGCGGGCTGGGTCAGGTCACTGTCTGTGGGAGGGCCGCGTCAGAACAGCGCCGGGCGGCAGAGCAGACGGAGTTCGAGGAAGGGGATCGAGGACAGGTGGGTGACGCTATTTATACTGACGCTTGATATTGTTGATTTATTGCCGTGTGACACCATGCAGTCGCCAGCGTTTGGTGGCAATACCTACTGTGTGTTCAAATGCAGTCCCTTGTGTTTGGTATTAGTATCGTGTGGTTAAATGCAGTCAATATTGTCTCGTGTCGGTGTCGTGTAGAATAATGCAGTCGCCAGTGTTTGGTGTTAGTGGCCTGTGAGCTAATGTAGTCGCCAGTGTTTGGTGTTAGTGGCCTGTGAGCTAATACAGTCGTCAGTGTTTGGTGTTAGTGGCCTGTGAGCTAATGCAGTCGCTAGTGTTTGGTGTTAGTGTCGTGTCTTATAATGCAGTCGCCAGTGTCTGGTGTTAGTGTCGTGCGCTAAAATGCAGTCATTAGTGTTTGGTGTTACTGTTGTGTGTTAGGTTACTGTTACTGTTGTGTGCAGCCGCTATTGTTTGGTGTTCCTCCTTCGTTGCTACACCGCCGCCGTCTGTCCGTGACTGACCGGCCCCAGTCTCCCCGGCCGCAGTGCCGTCCGCCATGGATCCGGACCGGCGCGGCTCGGACCCGCTGGTGACCGAGCTGCGGCCGCTGCTGGCCGGCTCCCCGCCGCCGACCTCCGGCGACTCCCCGGCCCCGCTGCGCGCTGCCCACCTGCTGTACGAGGCGCTGGTGGCCCGCGACCTGCCGCGCTTCTCCGTCCTGCTGACGGCCCACTCGGGCCGGCCGGCCGTGCTGGACCACTGTCACGGGGACGGCTTCACCTGTCTGCAGTACGCCTGTGAGCAGCGGCTGGAGGATTTCGTGGACGCCCTGCTGTCGGCCGGCGCTGACCCGTCTGTGGCCAGCCCGACCACCGGCCGGACGGCGCTGCACTGGGCGGCCGCGCGGGACGCCGCGTCCATCACCGCCCGGCTGCTGCGCGGGGCGCCCCAGCCGGAGGTGAACGCTGAGGACGCGGCCGGCGCCACCCCCCTGCGGCTGGCGGTGCTGAGCGGTGGCTGGTCGGCCGCGCTGGAGCTGCTCAGAGCCGGCGCCGACGTCAGTGTGCGCTCCGACTCGGGCCGGCCGCTGCTGCACTCGATCCCCGCCGAGATCCTGGAGGAGTTCCTCGACAGCTGCGTCTACAGTAACGGCCGCTACGTCACCGACCGCGACTGCTGTATCCGGCTCGACTACCGGCTCATGTTCCCGCGTCTGCCGGCGGGACGGACGGTGTTTGAGACCGCGGCGCTGTTCCATTTGTCCACCTCTCGCGAGCACAGACACCTGCTGAGGCACCCGCTGGTGGAGAGCTTCGTCGACCTGAAATGGTGGCAGGTTCGGCCGTTCTTCCTGGCTGATTTGGTCTACTACGTGCTGTTTCTGTCTCTGCTGACGACTCTGGTGGTTCTCCGTGCCGAGGAAGGGCCGATGTCGACTGGCTCGCGTCTCCAAGGCCTCCGGTGGGCCACGCTAGCTGTCACAATCCCCTCAATGATCACAAAGCTCGTCCAGCTGACGGCGGCGCCCACCCGCTACTCGCTGAGTGACCGGAACGGTCTGCTGAAGATCCCGCTGCTCCTGATGACACCCGTATACCTGGGAGCGGACCTGGAGCGCGGCCAGATGCTGCAGCTGTCCGCCATGATGATGCTGTTTGCCTGGCTGGAGCTGTTTGCACTGCTCAGTCGTGTGCCCGTGTTCTCCATCTATGCACGGATGCTGCAGACAGTACTCTGGCGGTTCGTTTCGTTCGTGTTCTGGTATATGGCGCTGATTCTCGGTCTCACGCTCAGCACTTACATCATGTTCAAAGAGCGGAGCAGCACCCGGCGCCACCCGGTTGTGGCCTTCCTGCGTCCGTTCGTCATGACGATGGACAAGGTGGATCTCAAGTCACTACCGATTGACAACGACGCCTCGCTGCAACAGCTGCTCTTCATTGCGCTGTTCTTCGTCATGACGGTGACGCTGACGAACCTGGTGAACGGCCTGGCCGTCACAGACATCGCCGTCATGCGGAAACACGCGCGCATCTTCAGCCTGGTGAGCCGGGTGCACCTGCTGGCCTACACCGAGTCGATGATGCTGGACGAGCCGTGTGAGTTTCTCGGGCAGCGGCGCTGCGGGGCGGCCTGGTGCGTCTCCGGCCGGCCGCGCGGCCGCTCCTGTCGGCCCGGGTCCTCTCAGTGGCCAGTGCCGCTCTGCTGGGTGCGCGGCGCCCGCTCCTGGCTGGCGCGGGCCATCCGGCTGCGTCTGCGACTGCCCGAGGGTCGGCTGTGCCTGTACCCGAACCGCTGTGGATTGGAGAAGGCGCTGCGGCGCGGCCGTCCCCCTCCCACGGAGCCGGCGCTGCCGCGCTGCTGGCGGTTCAGCACGGAGCTGGTGGCGGCCGCGCGGCGGCTGGCGCTGCAGCCGACACCGCGCGCGGCCTGGCGGTCCGCCTCTCACGGCTGGAGAGTCGCCTGAGCGGCCAGCCCGATCACGGGCCGTGAGCGGCGGCACGGGAAACGACTCACGGGCCGTGACTGGTGAGACGACACGGCCGTGAGCGGCGGGACGAGACACATACCGACGTTTTGGTGTGTTCATCCGTCATGACTTGTCTGAGAAACGATGTTCAGCACTGGAGTTCCAAACAGCTCCCTAATTGCTACCTATTTATGTGTGGCTGTTGGTATATATTTTTTACAGCGTTTGCATGGTTGGTGGTCTGTTATTTTGCGCAATAAATGGATTTTCAAAGAAATGGCTTTGCTGTTATTCGAGATGGGTTTGATCACAATAGCACGGCTGATTCACGATAAGGAACATCGTTCCCTGCACGTCTCGCTCTAAAATCAGTGCGGCGTCCAGCCCTCTCCGGTATCCAATATCACGCGCTAATGGGTAGCACGTGCTCCCGGCTCCTGTCGGTCCGCTGATGGCGCCTCTAACGGGCCATCTCCGCCGGTCACCCAGCGGCGGCGTCTGCGGCGCACCGGAGCCCATCAGAGACCATTGTAGCGCGCTCAGAGCGAGTGCAGATGTCGCCGCACTAGTCACGTCTCCCAGTGTCGCCGATTCGCTCCCGGAGAGGAGGAATAGCCGATCGAGCCGCGCACCGGTCGCCAGCGCTCGTCACGTGCTCGCTAAGTGTGATGGATGCAGTCGGTAACGGTGACGCGTCGGGCACGACGTCAGTATGTGTGTCTGCGTGAGAGGATGTGTGTTCATCCCAGGCTCTTCGTGATCATTGATCAGCTCATTCCCAGCCCATTGCCATGATCCTCAGCTAGCGAGTGCTCCAAAAACAAGCAAACAGCGCCGATTTAGCACTAGTAACGCGTCATTATACGCACGCCTGTCGGTGCGTCCGGCGTTTGGTGAACAATCGCCTGGATTATTCACGCGGATGGTAATGTGCGTAGTTGCGTACTGTCCGGAATACATTACCATTGCATTCCGCGGGTGGTGGGGTCGGCGGGCGCACCTCCGCTGCCGTGGTTATGGTGGGAGGTCGGTCACCCCGTGCGCGGGCAGCTGCACCGACACGCACATGAACGGGGGCCGAGGTCAAACCTGGGCAGTGCCGGTGGCCATTGTTAAAAATAACTCTACTTCTTTCGTTTTTTTAGACTGTTTGGGCATCGTTTTTTTTTATACCACACCGTCTTGTTGCTCGCAGTAAATGAATGCATCTCATCACCCTGTTCCTCTTGATTACCACCGTTTATAGTTGTCATACCCTCCATTATCCCAGCGTCCCGCAGTGTTATTTCTTCCGCCGTCTTGCACCGTTTTAACGGTCACTTCCACCGTCCTTCTGTCCAACATCTCCGCATTCCACAGCCCTTATTATCCATCCCCTCGTGTGATATACCGTCCTCGGCACCCCACCCTCCAGCCGAGTGGAATTCGGTCGCCCTGCCTCGCTCTGCCGCCGGCAGTGGTCAGCCCTCCCTCCCCGTCTGCTGACCTGCAGTCACCAGACAGTGCAGGAGCAATGTCCGGTCAAACGGACCGGGCGGGGCCGGCTGCCGCTGGTCCCAGACGACGTCAGCTCGGTCACAGGAAACCACAAATCGGCGCTGAGTAGCTGTCGATGCTTGAGTAGCTGTGTCTGAATGGATGATTGGTTGTTTTATTTATATTTACCAGCTATTTCATGCCACTAAAAATGAACAAGATTTTAACGTAAGAATTGCTTTTTTGATATACATGCTTATTTGGTCTCCATTTATTTTCCCCTATTTCACTATCTTTTTCCTCCTATCTTTATCTTTATTTACGCTACCTTCAATAATATCTCTCCATCTATCCACGCAAACTGAGACTGCGCCTCGCACAATGGTGTGCCGAGCGGTCCCACACCAACACAGCGCCACGCACAGTTGTCTATAGCGTGACGGGCCAGCGGCGCATCACTGTATGTACTGTCCACATACCCACTACCGGTGACGAATGCCGCAGCCAGGCCCGGCCATTGTCCGTCTCTAACGGCAAGTGTGGACCCACATTCGGCAGTTGACAATGCTCCCCGGTCACGGTATGGAAGGCAGCCAGTGCGTGCGCCGTTCTTACCGGTCTCTCAGAGTGCGGTTCTGGACTTACGCAGCTGTCTCATTCTGCGGCCGTTTTGCCGAATACCGCAGAGTCGGCCGGCAGGTTGCCCGTCGAGCGGTGCACTAATGGAAACTAATGGAGGGTAACGGACGGCGGGGATGGTCCGTTCGGGAGAGAGACTCCGCCGGAACCGACCCAAAAAGGCTCTGCATTTAGCCATAGTTGGTCAGATCGAGATGACTTTACTGACCAATTTAGCAAGGATCCGCGGCGGAAGTAGAAAAAAAATAGCAACCGGATAATTATTCGATGCACTGGGGGGGGGGGGGGCTGTGCTCATGCAATACCTTTATGCACAGGCAGAAAAATGTTTCACCACAAAAGCTAGCAATATAGGATGAGAAGGTAACTATAGGAAAACTAGCTATAGGAAGCTACATGAGTCATCGAAGCACCTATGGGATATTTTGGCTTGGATCACATGTGGCCGACTTAGAAGCTGTGGAAGAGTCAACAAACATATAATTTTATGATTGGATAGCCGATGTGGAAGCTGGAATCTGTCCACATTAGTCCGAATTATGTAGTGAGAGGAGCTGCTATCCTTTGACAATGGGCTGATAGAGCTGTTTATGTTTGCCCACACCGGAAGACAAAGACGTGTTAGCCGTTTTAGCACCGTTGTACCTGGCGCCGCCGTAAATCATGTTCTCAGACTATGGGAAGCTAAGATCGGCGCAATATTTTGTGGGAGCTTCCCATCGCGGCGGCGCCGTCCACCGTTATACCAGAGTGTGGAACTGCACCCTCACCGGGCCGGAGGCGCTGCGCGCCGGGCCGGCCGGGCTCCGAGTGCCTCCGCCGGGCTATAAACGAAGTAGCGGGGACCCGAAATCAGTGCAGTGGACCACGGGAGCCGCTCGCCTGCAACTCATGCACCAATTACCCGCACGGAATGTAGTTTACCTAAAAACTTGGGAAGGTAGCCTGGGTGTAGGCGTGTACTTCAAAGCGGGTTCAGTAAACGAGGCAGACGAATAGTCGGTTTGGCTTATTTGGCCCGTTATAAATGTGACTGACATCCAAAACTACCTCATTATATGATTACACTGAGAGTGAGTGAGCCGGCCACTATTACTCAGACTGTTGTCGGCACCTGCACCCCAGTATTACCACTGCATTTGCCGCCCAGTGAGCGACCACTCCTCCTGACCCATCACCCGAGCACCGCTATATCCCAGCGGCCTGAGCTGGGGTCAGCCCGGCCGGGAGGGCGTCACCTTTCACACCGGCAGCGAGGAGCGCTCAGCGGAGCCGGCGGTCGCCACCGGGTCAGCTTCCGTCTGGGACGGTGTTCGAGCGTCACGGGTTAGCTGGGAGCTGTTATACCAATGCACAGTTACCGTCCAATACATGACTACACGAGCGACATAGGGGACGACTGGAGGCTCCGTAGCTTGTGGAGATCCAGTCACTGAGCTGTGCTGGACTGGAAAGGTGATGAAATAGCCATCAGTCACCGATCACCACACACCAGCGAGCGACCACTACTGAACTATACCGGACATATACATACACGCATGTCACCAATAACAGAGCACGAGAGAGGGCAGTGACGCGGGGACAGTGACCGGTCACCGAGAGCACTGACCGGTCATCGGTCACTGGAGGCAGCAGCCTCGATCATCGGTCACCGAATCTGCCCGACGGCTGGTCACGTTCGCAGCAGGTGGACGAGCCGCATCGCCGGCAGACAGTCGGCGAGACAGTCGACAGTGCAAGCCGCCAGTCGACAGACTGGATAGCAGTCGGCAGTGCAACAGTCGACGGACGGAATAACCGTCGGAAATCGCCGCGACAGTCTGCGGCCGGGACAACAGTCAACAATTGAACGATGTGACGCCGCCGAGACAGTCTGCAGTCGGCCGTTCGACAGGTCTACAGTCAGCCGCAACAGTCTTGCACGAGCACGACTGCATGACTGATGTGCCTTGTCACTGCCCTTTGGGATCCGGTGAGACGGTCAGGTCACAGCGACTGCTTCGGCCGACGGTCTTCCGTCCATCGTTCCGTCGACCACTGTCAGTCACAGATGGGTCACTGAACGATGCAGAGGCTGGCAGGGAGATGGTTATCGTAACCCGGAAACAATCTGAATAAGCCCAGTATGCGGACGACGAACTGCTAACAATAGCTGGATTTTTTCGTTTCAGGACGTCTCGCAGTATTCACAGTTCACACATTTTTTCTTCAAAAGCGATTGCAATGTCTTTTAACGAAGAACAAGACTCGCTGGATAAATCGAGCCAGCGATTTTAGAGTTTTACCCAGGATGAATATGTATGTAAACAGCATTCAATTTATTACTTGTATAACTTACAAAAATATTCGCATCATGATAGCAAAATGCTGCTGTTTTTTCCTTTCTCTAAGGACGTTCAAACGACATTTATCAACTTGTGATCAACAGAGGGACACTTGTGTCACTGTCATCAGTTCCGCCTCGTTTTGCGGAACAGAGATTCCTTCACATATCGTCTTATTAAAACGGTGTGTTCATCAAGCCCATCGGTAGATGGTAATGGTCGGACCAAAAATGAGAACCGATAATTTGTTCCCTCGGTAAAAAAAAAACTTTGGAAGTAACTTGCCTACCCGACACGTCTGATTGCTTGCATAAAACACGCATGGTAAAGTACCTAATGGGCACATGCACTCAATGAGAGATGGTGTTTGATTTTATTTATTTGCGTGGCGAAGATAATATAATAACCTTGTGTTACCAAAAGCAAAACATCGTAGGCAACGATTCTTCTAGTTACGTGAACTCTAACACAAAAATAATGTGGCATCTAAATTACAAAAGCCGTTCTCATCCATAGAATTTGCACCATGAAAATTCGTGTGAACACTGTCGAGTCCCAGTGCTCCCGAATCCCTAACCCAAATTTCACCAGTTCTTCCTCCAAAGTCAGCCGTGGGATGACACAAATCCCGTGAATCGGTCCGTGGGACGCGCGCGCCGTCTCACGGCTCAGTCAGCGCCGCGGTCGTGTAGCCCCCCGCGGCGGGAGGTCGGCGGCTCTGGGCCGGCCTGCTGCTCGTGACACAGTGAACCCGGTGGCCGCGGTCGGTGGGAATCCTCGCGGGCGAGCGGGCGTCACAAAGCGGCCCGGACAGACCAGTTGTACGGGTGTCCCCGCA